TCAAATCTCTGAAATCATATTTCATCAAAACATGTTGGAATATGAAGTTTGTATCATCAAAAAGTTCAAAAGCCAAATTTACTATGGAAAAGCCAAATTTCTAAATACTTGGGATTTTTCTAAGTATTTAAGAAAATTGACACTTCAGAACTTCTGAGCCAGCCTCCAGGCAGGTGCAGTCAGAAGTTGTAAACATGGTTCAGCACATAGTCTTCAGTCAGAACATGGCTTCTTCAGCATCTACGCAAGTTCAGTCAAAGTTTGCTAGAGTAATGCAAAGAAGGTAATAAAGCGTAATACGAAGCCTGAAAACTCCTTCGGAACATGCTAGATCCAGAAGGTAAGAGGATCAGAAGATTGGATGCTACACTGAAGCAGAACTTCTAATTCAAAGTTTTCAGAGGTAAATCAAAGAAGGTTACTGGAAAACTTGGGGAATCTTTCAGAGTATGCTGAGGCAACAGGATACTAAGATCAGAAGTAGGATGTTTTGTTCTAGACTATGCTGAAATGGAACTTCTGACCCAGAGTTAAGCAATGATGCAAAATCTCACATTATAGGATTTCTGATTTTGACAAATCTCATCATCATTTAATGCTCATTGATGCTCACAACCACTTTTGAGTCTTTGTCCAAAGGATCTCTCCACGTGTAGTGTAGAAATACTTTTATACAGAATTAAGTAAGGGTCCATGCGCTACCTTTTGCTTGTGGGTTCATTTTTCCTTAATCCCTGCTTACTAATCCAACCTAAGCTAAAAAACCTGTCAACTATCACACCTTTTTTGGAACTTGCTTCAAGAACAAGTCAGCATCTAGCGTATGATGTTGGCGCTACTTGACATTTCAAACACACAAAACTTTGCCTATAAATAGAACACCATTGATCACTGAGAAAAAAAGGAGAAATATTGGTAAAAAAAGTCAAAACTTTGAGAAAGAAAAGCCTTGAACCCTTGCCAAAATTCCAAGAGTTCTAAGAACTGTAAACACAACACATAAAACCTCGTTAACTTTTGATTCCTTGCATTCAAAACCCCACTTGTTCTCAATCATTTCTTGACTAAAAAAAAACATTCACACAATTTCTGATCCACACGTTGGAAACTGCCTAAACTTCTGTGTTCATATTGCTATACATTTTCCATCCACCCATTCAAAGAAATCAGAACATCACCTCATTGCCATCCTCAGAAGTTGAATACTTCCAGCTTACTGAGTACGTGAAGAAGCTGTTCAGAGCTTCATCAGAGTTAAGATTGACCCCGGTTCACAGAATTTCTCCCAGCTACAAGGGAATAAATCAGTTCAGAGCTCCTTGAAGAAACTAGGACTCAGAGTTAGGATTAGCAAATGCATGATTGCCTCTGATTTATAGTTCTGATATTTCTTATCTTCTGAAACGCTATGACACATGCTATAACTGTTCTATGCATGTCTTCTGTTTTATGGAGAAATAACCAAATTACAGATGTTCTGACTAGCATAGAGAGAGAGAGACCAAGTTCTGCCAGTGGTATCAGAACTTCTGAAGCTTGTTTTATTACTAGTGGTCTCAGAACTTCTGAAGTCTGTTTAGTTTCCAGTAGTATCAGAACTTCTGAAGCTTGTTTAGTTGCTAGTAGTATCAGAACTTCTGAAGCTTATTTCGTTTCCAGCAATATCAAAACTTCTGAAAAGTAATGTATTCCCAGTGGGTTCAGAACTTCTGACCGCATACATTTTCACTAACAGGTTTCTGTTTTGCAGCGTGCCAGGGTCAGAACCTTTGACTTCATTTTAGTCAGCAATACGCTGATCCGCTTTTCTTCTTTTCTCATTATTTTTACCATCATTTTCCATTCAACTAATCAGCAAACATCAAAAATATTTCCTTCACACTTTATTTTGGTTTCTTAAAACAAAAGATCAAAAATATTTTCTTAAAACAAAACAAGTTCGTTTTCACATTTTCTTGTACATTCTTATGCATTTCAATATGGTTATAATAATAATTTAGGATTTATTTTTTTTGCAATCCCCACTCGTACATATGTACCCCCATCCCCTAAATATTGTAATAACGTAGAATTTTATTTTCCGCAATTTACTATTTTTCTTATACTGTATATTAATTAGGCGTGTATGGTAAGATAAAACCAACAAGTAGACCATCAAAAATCAAAGACAAATGCATGCAATCAAACACACTTGCACACATGCACCCTTAAGGTTAACTTCACTTGTTGCCTAAAAAATGGTCATGTTATGCATGTGGGGTGTCTTAGCAAAAACAATCGAAATACAAGACCATAGTCTCTCGATGACGCTATCAAAGTTGTCTTTCGAAATGATCTTAGTCCCTAAAGAAAAATGCTAAGACATCTCACAACATTGTTATCATAATAATACGATGACCCAACGCCCGTCCCTTCACATCCAATGATGGGGCTTCTTACCGAATCAATGGCGAGATAGCAACATCTAAAGGAAGAGAAAAAGCACATCTAAGACCTTTTAAGTAGGTAGATTCGCTCCTAGTTGCTCGCTTGCTCACAACAAAAACATTTTTATACACCAACACCCTCATCTTGGAACATTTTTGAAAGACAACACTTTGTACGCGTTCTTATAGAAACGATGATCATTACAAAGACACCTTTTCAAAAATCATTCAAAAATCACTTTCAAAAACACACCCCACAAACATCTCTTTGAATTATTTTAAAAACAACACTTTGTATGCGTTCTTATACAAATGAGAATCATTACAAAGTTACATTTTCAAAATACTTTCAAAAACCACACCACAAGCACATTCAAACAAAAGCAAGTGATCTAACAAGTAACTAAGAGCCCATGGAAAACCATGGATGAAAAGGGTGCTAATACCTTCCCTTTTCATAATCTACCCCCCGAACTCAAGAAACAATCTCAAAGGTCTTTCCTGTGCTTTTTCACCTTTCCTTTTTGGATAAAAGAAAAGTCGGTGACGACTCTTACTAAATAGCAATATTTGCGAACACAAACGCAAAACCCTCAAGTCAGTTCTCCCACCGTATCACAACGTGAAACTTAGGTAATGAGGCATTAGGTCTCCTAGATTATGCGGCTACACATTCACCACATCTAACAGTAAAGTCGACGATACTATTTGGCTGATAATAATGGGGTTCTCTTCAACCGAGACTAAAATACCATAACTATCGACACTCGTCGTTACTAGTTGATCTCCAGGGTTTGGAGAATTACCTTGGGAAGGGGATTGATTTTTACGCGACATTTAGAGAATTTTCTTACCACTCCTAAGAAACACAAACCCTCAAAACTCATAAGTTTTATGTAGAGAAAAGTTGTTCAAAAAGAAACGTAAGGCACCTTTTTTTCTCCAAGAAAGTGTATAATATTCGTAATAAAGGTTTTCACTGGGCGTGCCAATTTGTTTACCAGTGTTTTTGATAACTAATCACGAGTTTAATAAAGCTAGTGAGATTAACTCGAAAAGTTTCCAAAGCAATTTGTGCAAATGATTTGTATGAAAATACATGTGTGTGATTTGAATGCGACCGTTTATACAGAGACAACACAAAGATAGAGTTTAAATGAAGACAAATTTTGATAAATGACAAGGAGACAAAGTAAATGTTTCATTTAAGGAAATAAAAAAACAATGAAAAGACTTGACGTAGACACATACATATTTCTCTCGAACTATTTTACTCTTTGACTCGGGTATTCCAGTTATATGGAGAGAATATATGAAATTTTGCAATCCATGTTACAATGTATGAGTCTGATATTTATTTTATTTACAAGTAACCGTAAATGACCGTTCTAAACACTAGGAGATTTCTGCATTTTATTCCACGTTCAACCTTCGAGTTCCTACTAGCGGGTCCACGTGTCACCCACGATCTACTACTTGTTTACAATGCACATTGAGATAATTATTTTAACTTCACCACGAATTCTTGATGATAACTGCCAATTGTGTCGTCGACATCATCTCTGTTTGATACTTAGATTCTAGAGAACTCGTTTAGTCATGAAATCCTTCGTCGCTGTCGACTATCATCCATGTCGACACACAATTTTTGTGGACTGTCCTTCTCAAGATTTTGGACATGTTTCCAGATGATCCTAATCTCGTGGATATATTTTTGTAATTTTTTCAAACCATAATTGGCACGTCATTTGACTCCCTGATCGACGCTCTATCGTCGTTGGATAAAATTAAAGCTTCAAGACACTTGACATTAATACCTCTAAACTCTTGATTTAATATTCCTAAACACTTCATTATTGTCTCATAATCATAAATGTCCATTCATTGTTACATTCTCCGCTGACTCTCCTTTAATTGAAAATTCTAATATAACAATATTCAATCAATTAGATAAGAAAAAAATAAATTTATAATCAATTTTAATAGTATTAATGAAGGATAACGATCCTCCATCAAATTTTTCTAAAAAAAGACAAAAATAATCAATTGTATAAGTCATCCAATCAATTATACAATTAATTTTGTCCATAAATCATTTTCTTTTTTTAACCAACCTTTAACCTACAAATTGAGATCTCTCTTGGGATCATATACAAGCAACAATATAATGTTGCATTTGCGAGGGCATCTCCAACCAAAGATAAAATTTGGTTGCTTAGCTCAATTTTAATAGGCTTATTAAAAAAAAAAAAACCTTACAAATAAAAGGTTGGATTTAATTAAGGAGGTACTAGTAGATCCTATTATTATTGCATTGGTTGTAAACTTTTAAGATATCAAGAAACGGATAGTTATGGCCACCGACCCGACCCTGTGTGTCCTTTCATCGTCTTTCTAACTCTATCACTTTATAATAATCATTGATAGTTGAAATTGAATTAACAGCAGAAGTATGGGTGAAAAGTAGCATATGTGCCCCCACACACATAAGTTAAAGAGTAAAGTTATTGAATAGTCACTGGCAAATCAGGTAGAGGAAAATCAAGTACACGTTTAAATGAGTCACAGTTCATAATGCTACTGCAGCTTGATGCTAAACTCGTGGGATTGTGGACCATATTTGGAACATGGAACCAGGATATTTTCACTCATACAGGTTTGTCATACCCAACAGTTTGAAACTTGTTGTTTTTCCTTTTTAGTTATGTTTTCTCTATCACTACCATACTTATCAGTATTTCCAACATGCACGGCACGCACTGAGGAAATTTAGGACGCTTGGATTTGAAAATTGGAACATTTGATTAGTGGTTTTAGTTGACAAAATTGAGCAAGGTGTTTTTTTTTTGTTGTGGCAGGACTGAAATTGTTGATATTATGTGATGATGCTGAGGATGTGAAAACGAAGCGTGTTGTTTGCAGGAGCAGGAAAGTTGTAACGACGTTTTCTCAATTTACTAGGCAAGTTTACCATGTCGTTTTGTCTTCCAATTTTGCTAAAATAATTTAATTTATTTACACTTACCATAAAAACAACAATATAGTACTTCCTCGTACACTTATGTCGGTACTAGCATGTCTTAAGCTACTCTAGTTATTGAGTTGAATAGTAAAAGGCTACACACTCTAGAATTGAGTCAAATAGTAATAAGCTACTGCTACTCTAGACATTAGGCTTATTGAGTTGAATAGTAAGAGGCTACTACACTCTCTAGAATTGAGTCAAATAGTATTAAGCTACTCTAGACATTAGGCAAATATGTAGCGTGTGTTTGGTTCAGTTTTTTTCCACCGCCACCATGCGTTTAAAAAGTATGCACCTTGAAAACCAAAAACTTGAAAACCAAAAAATACACGTAGTAGTTTTTATTCACCACACTTTTCTTCTTCTGCTAGAATACCAAACATACACGTAGTAGTTTCAATATTTAAATCAGAAGCCCTTTGAAATTCATGATTATCGTGTAGTATTATATATTTTCTGATCACTATTATAAATAATAATAAAATTATTTTTAATTTAGTGAATGATTGATAAATTTGATATATAATAATAATTATATATATTATTTATTTAAATTTGAATTTTTGTTGTTGTTTATAATAATAATTGGAGGAGAGTGTACTATTATTTTAAAAAGTAAAGAGAACTTATGTTTTAAAAACGCATAATAAAATTAATATTTAATAATTTTTAACATTTTAAAAAAGAAAATGTATAATTTTTATTTTTTTTGTTTTTATTTTTTTAGTAGTTTAATGATTAAATTCTATCTTTTAAAAATACATATGTTTATAGTTTAAATTCGAGTTATTAACGAGATAATTAATGTATTTTATATTATTTATTTTTACAAAAATAATACTTGAATTTGTTGATAAAAATATTTCATTTGTGTTGTTTTTTGTCTTTAAATAATAAAAAATATTTATTATTATTGTTATACTTTTATTTAATAAATTTCAATTTATTAAACTATTTTACTAATTATAATTAATAAAAATATTTTCATAAATAATGATTTTTATAATTAAAATTAATATATCAAATTTCTTTATAATTTAAGAACCACTCAATATTTAAACTGATGTTTTAGGATGAAAAAAGTAAGATGGAAAAACGATTCGATTTATCAAATATGTCTATTTTATTTGTATATTTATTTTGTCTGTATATTTTATAGGATATATCAAAATTTTAAAATAGAATATATCAAAATTTTAAAATCACACAATATAATATATCTGTAACGTATTTACAAACATGAATAATTAATAATTTTTATAATTTTTAATCTTTGAGATCACGTCTTGAACCTTAAAAATATCCACTTCACCTCTTTAACCTTAAGAATTTAAGATCTCGAATTCATTATTTTAGGATAAATTTTTAGATCATGTCTTTAACTTTAAGAATATCCACTTTCACACGTTTATTTTTGGGCTTTTGGGAAAAGAGACCAAAAGGGACGGTTGCCACCCATGAAAGTATGTGTTTGATTTAAGACAATGATTTCTCGACATTGTATTTTAAGAAGAATCCATAGGCTACACATTTGGAAGCAAGGAAAAAACAGAGAATATAAAACATACAGGCACCATTATTTCTTTTGGAAATATCCTCAGTTTTTGTAAACAGCGAAATCCATGCGGTAGCAAACACAGGGGATATAATAAGATGGAATCAAATTGAATATATAATACATATAATACATAACAATAATTAACAACCGTTAAATCATTAAAGATATTTAATTTTAATTAAATTATTCCAAAAATAATAGGATGGAATATTGTGTGTAGATTATATTGGAGAGTTCAGAGAAGTAGAAAACACTAATAATAAAGATTAGAGATGATAAAATAGGCCGTCTGTCTTATTTTAAGTCCGTCAAAAAAAGAGTGAGATGGATAAACCCGTCAAATTAAAATAGATATAAAAATTAAGTTCGCCACGTCAAAGTGGCGGGTTAGCAGGCGACAGGTTTACCTGCCTATTTTATTTATTTTTTATTTTTTAAATATATTAATATTTTTTTTTACATTTTAATTATATTTTTCACTTATATTTTAGAACAATTTTTATTAAGCATCTTATTAGTAATTTTGTTTAAAAAATATTATATACATTCACAAATTAATATATAAAATAAATTATCAAAAACTGAAATTACTATAATTAGCTAAAAAAGGACGAACTTAAAGTGAGACAAATTAAACGAATAGATGCGGTGGGTTTTGGTGGGACAGACGTTGGTGGGTGGCGGTCTTTAGCGAGACGAGTTTTGGTGGACGGCAGACTCAAAATCTCAACCCAACCCTTTATTTTTTGGTGGATACGCGGGTCGGCCCTGCGGACCACGACCCATTTTGCCACCCCTATTCAAGACCACCCAATAATAATATAATGAAATATAGACTATTATGTTTAATTTATATTGTGGAGTCTAGAGAAGTCGGGAACACTAGTGATGCTCCAGGACCACAAGGGAGAAAGACGTCATATGTCAATCCAAAATTTTAAAGTGTTAGATAAATGAGTTCTCATAGGTAACATGAGGCTTTAACCACGCACACTTGCGCCGAACATTTTCCGCTCTCTCACAAATCTGATACCACTTGTTTGAGAAGTCCGACGAGTGTGGTTCGAAAGTGCAATGTGTCAAACGTTCATAGTTACTATAAATCTTGACACCACATATCCACCAAAAATCTTAAGACAATTGATGTATCAGTCACTTTTCTTATAAATTCAACATTTACTATATTTTTAATTGATGTGAGTCTTTAACATAACATTCACACTTAAAACTCAACAAATCAAATAAAAAATTAGATAATTTTTTCTTCCACTATTCAAATTTAATTCGACGTCTCTTTTGAATTAGTATTTTAAACTTTAATATTCTTCGTCAATTCTTTATATATATATATATATATATATATATATATATATATATATATATATA